CTGAGAACCGTGATAATTTTGGTCACTATAATCATAAGAAATTTTCATACCGTTACATCCCTAGTATATATATTCTGTTTATGTATATACTGTATTCTATATATAGTACCAGTCAAATGTTTGGACACACGAATGGGAAAGTTTCCAAACTTTTGACTGGTATTGTACTATAATATACACAAAGAATATCGGCCGATATATCGATATCGGGCTTTTTTTTACTCCCTAATATCGGTATCGGCCCCAAAAAACCCATATCGGTCGGGCTCTAGAAGAGACGCTTTGAGGAGAGGCCTCCCCGGCAATTTATGTAGGACACCACGGACCTGTTGTCCAATCGGATAAGCACATGGTGTCCTTTTAAGACTGGCAGGAAGAACTGACAGGCTCGACATACTGCTAGCATTTCCAGGCAGTTGATATGGAAGCCTTTTTCCGCCTTCGACCAGTGGCCAAAAGTCGGTATGCCCTCGCACAGCGCCCCCCAACCTGAGTTGGAGGCGTCTGTCGTGACAACTGTCCTTCTGCAAACCATCCCCATGGCCACGCCCTGTTCCATCCAGCAGGAGTTCTTCCAGGGGGTCAGGGCCGATACACAGGCCTGACTCACGTCCCGGGCTCTCCAGGTGGCTGAGGAGGAGGGTCCTGTGTGTTATTAATTCTGCCTCTGACTGGGCCAGAACGAGCCAGTCGTCGAGGTAGTTGAGAATGCGGATTCCCATCTGTCTCAGAGGGGAGAGAGATGGGAAGCACTTCGTAAAAGTGCGGGGGGGCAGAAAGTATGCATCCAGCGAAAAGAACCAGTCTCCTGAGAGAATTCGCGCAAGGATCTGTTTCAGCATAGTGACACACCCGACACACTCTGTCAGTTTAAATCTAGATTAAAGACCCATCTCTTTAACCTGGCTTACACATAACACACTAACACATCTCTATAATTCAAATCTGTTAAAGGATTTTTAGGCTGCATTAATTAGGTCAACCGGATCCGGGAACACTTCCCATAACACACAATGTTACAACACTTGTTACATCGTTAGAAGAATGGCATCTACGCTAATATTAGTCCGTTTCTTTCTTATTCCGAGGTCACCGTAGCCACCAGATCCAGTCTGTATCCAGATCAGATGGTCACTGCAGTCACCCGGATCCAGTCCATATGCAGCCCAGAAGGTGGATCAGGACCTAGAGATGACCTTGACAGCCCTGAACGTCAGCGAAGACCAGGACAACTAGATGAGCCTCAGAGACAGACCCCAGTGAAGACCTTGTCTCCTAGACGGCCATCGGGACAAGACCACGGGAACCAAATGAGTCCTTTGCACAATCTGACTTTGTTGCAGCCTAGAATTAAACTGCTGGCTTTGTCTGGCCAGAGGAGAATGGCACACTATTTCGACACACTATTTCCCTGTTTAATACTGTAAAGCTGCTTTGACACAATCTGCATAGAAAGCGCTATATAAATAATGGTGACTTGACTTGACTTTGCTCTACTGTTTGATCTACAAGAATGCATTATAAGGAATAGAGCTTTAATGATTTGTGATGGATTATCAACTAATTATGCACCTTCCTTGTAGGTAGGGTTGCAAAAAGGTGGGAAATTTCCAGTAAATTTCAGAAATATTCCAGAAATTTTGGAAACTTTCCAGGATTTTTTTTTTGAATATTCCAGGGATTTTTGGAAAGTTTCCAGAAATTTACCGGAAATTTTCTGGAAACTTCCCAACCCTACTTGTAGGTGCGTTCAGATAGTATATGGTGTTTTTATTAATCTCAACGCGCATACAGCACAAAATCCGGCAGTTGGGGCACATTCTGTAAACGCTTGTTTGAATTCATTCCGAGAATCAACCCTGGTGGCACAAAATGCCATTCAGAGTCAAGTCAAGTCAAGTCACCTTTATTTATATTTATTAAGCGTGCAGAACAGCCACCCAATAAAGCATTACAATAATCTAATCTTGAGGTCATAAACGCATGGATTAACATTTCTGCATTTGACATTGAGAGAATAGGTCGTAATTTAGATATATTTTTGAGATGGAAAAATGCAGTTTTACAAATGCTAGAAACGTGGCTTTCTAACGAAAGATTGCTATCAAATAGCACACCTAGGTTCCTAACTGATGACGAAGAATTGAGTCACAGATCAGATGGGATACTGGAAAGAGGGTGCAAAGAAAAAGCATCAGCCTGAATCCCCTCATACTGTTTCTCATCAGAGAGCTTGTCAACTTTGCCAAAATTACTGAAATTTAACACAACACAAACTAATTTTACTCCATTTTATTTCTGTAAAGCCTGTTTTGCCATGCTACAGATACAAAGTCCCCAGGGGACTGTGGTGATGCCCTTTTTTCAGCTAGTGCATGCTAGAGATGAAGATTTGTAATTGTTCAACGATTAAAAAGATTATAAAGACAAATGCTAATGAGTTAGTGATTTTTATGGGCTTGGGGTTGTAAAAAAATATGGTATACAGTGTTGTACCGAAAGTGGATTGTTTTATACAGGTAAAAAATGAAAATAAACTGAACAGTACTAATACTGACAATACAGTAATAATACATCCAGCTTAGGGATGTAACGGTATGAAAATGTCTTATCACGGTTAAAGTGACCAAAATTATCACTGTTATCAGTATTATCACGGTATTGTTAAAATGTGCTGGATATGTTAAAAAAGTAACGACACATAAATCACTTCAAGTTTTATATTTAAAAATCAACAAAACAAATAAAATGACTTTTTGTTTGCATAATCACTAAAACAATAACATTACCAATGATGTTCGGATTTTAAATGACAACTTGACTGACAACGGTTTAATAGCCTAGCATGTTGAAATATCTAATGTAACTGTTCAAATAAAGCTTTGAAAAAGTTTAATAAAAAGGTAAAGACAAATGATGATGAAAACAAAATGCCATCTAATCGTTTCTGAAGACAGTCAGAACCTTCAGAGGTACATTCATATAATTAATTCATTCATATATTCATTTGTATAATTCCCTTAGACTCTTTTAATACCTCCCAGCTTTTCCGCCCAGTTTTCACTCAAAACGAAACTGCTCTGCGTGCTGTGCGCACGTGAGACAGTTACTTAAAACTGTGCTTTATGCTGGACAGTATTTATTTATCACGAGTTGTTCAAATCGCGGTAATCTAAT